TTGAAGTTTTGATATAGTTAGGCTCTTGTCTTTATAGTGAGCTGTTTTTTTTGTTTTTTGGTACTGTAATTGAACCCAGGTCTGGTGAATGCTAGGCAAGTGTTCTATCACTTGAGCCACACCCTCATCCCTCTTGTTTGTATATGGTTTCTGAGACAGGGTCTCACTAACTTTGCCCAGGTTGGCCTCATGATCTTCCTCCCTCAGCCTCCTGTGTAGCTGGGATTATAGACATAGGCCACCATCCCTGGCTGTGAGTCATTTTAATTACTGTAGTTTAACAGTGTATGTAATATCTCTTTGTTCAAGTATTCCTTCGCTCTTTTTATTTTCCAAATATTTTGACTATGACCTTTCATTTATTTTTCTCAGTAAATATTAATAAGTATGTTAAGCAGAATGCAACTAGAGTTTTGATTGATGTTGTATTGAATTTATAAAATTTTGGAGGATTAAAATACATTGACATTGGTACTTATGATAGGAATATGTGCAATATGTGATCAGTTCACACACACAGACACAGAACATTTGACTGTGTTTCTTTCAGGGAATGTCTGATATAGGAGGTCAGGAATGATGTGTTATGAAGAAACTTGAAATACAGATACAGATTTAGTTGTGAAGACTTTCACAAGCTATTCTAGGAAGTTTCTGATGGTTATAAACAAGGGAAAAATGATTAAATGTGTGATTTAGAAAGATGACTCTGAAGCAAGGTAAAGGCAGGAAGTAAGTCAACAAGATCAGCAGGATGCTCCCTCCTCAGGTTCATGCATTCATGGATCTACTCAGCACACATTCATTGAGTGGCAGCCATGTGCCATGCTGCTGTACTTACTTAGAATATGCCAATGAGCAAACAAGCAGGGATTTGTCTTTGTGAAGTCTACTTTTCGGTGGATGACACAAAGTAAACAGTAAACCCAATAGGTAATGAAATCTATGGAAAAAAAGATTAAGCACAGTAATTTTAAAAAAGTAAGAAAAAAAAATCAAGCACAAAATAAGTAAGGAGGATAAAGCATGCCAGAAAGGTTAGGTAAAGGGGAGGAGAGAATGATAACATTTTAGAATGGTTAAGATAAACAGTGAGAACATGACATTTCACAAGTATGTAAAGGAGGTAAATAGGTATAGGATCTTAGAAACCATTCTAAGGAACTGGAATTACTTTGTTTTTTGAGTATAGAAGGATGCCATGGGACAGTTTTGGACAGAAAGCTATAGGACTAGCTTTGGCTTTAAAAGAACCATTCTAGTTGCCTTTGGAGGGTGAACTATGTGTGTTGGTGGGTATAAGGGTAGAAATGGAGAAACAGAGAAGGAAATTAGATTTTTTCACAAATCCACGTAAAAGATGAAGTTAGCTTTGACCTGGATGTTAGCAATGGGACATGGTTGAAGCAAACAGATTCTGGATAATCTTGAAAGCTCCCAGGAATTTCTGGTGGATGGGTCAAAGGGTACTAGAGGAAGAGAGGACCCAAGAATGACACCAAGGTTTTGAGACCCCCTGAGCAATTGGAGGGATAAAGATGCCATTGTAAGGCAGTTAGGGAAGGCTGAAGTGGTACATAGTTGGAAAGAAAGATTTGAGCTTTCTTCTATATATAAAAATGTGAATGTGGAGTTTGTGATTAGAAATATGCAGATAGAATACAGGACAGAGGTGAGGTATGAAGACATAACAATGAGATTCACGAGCATATAGATGATATAAAGTCATAAGAGGAAATTGAGTACCAAGGTAATGAGTTCAGCTAAAGAGGAAGAGAGAACACAGACTTCAGGCACTTCAATACTAGTAAATTAGGGAAAAGAGGAAGAGACAGCAAAGTAGACAGAGAAGGAGCACCCAGGGAGATAGGAGAAAATCTGAGAGTATATAATATCCTGAAAATGCTGTAAAGAAAAGAGGAGAGAATTAGAAAATCTGTGCTGTTGATAGAGAAAGTAAGTTGGGACTGACCATCTGATTGGCAAGACTGACAAGACCAGTTTTGGTGCTCTGATAAAATCTTTTTTTTTTTTCATTTTTCTTTTATTATTCATATGTGCATACAAGGCTTGTTTATTTCTCCCCCCTGCCCCCACCCCCTCCCTTACCACCCACTCCACCCCCTCCCGCTCCCCCCCTCAATACCCAGCAGAAACTATTTTGCCCTTATCTCTAATTTTGTTGTAGAGAGAGTATAAGCAATAATAGGAAGGAACAAGGGGTTTTGCTGGTTGAGATAAAGATAGCTATACAGGGCATTGACTCACATTGATTAAATCTTTTAAATAGTCTGGCTGGAATGGGTTCGAGAGAGAATGGAAGCTGGATGTGTGATGCATGCCTGTAATCCCACTTGGGAGGCTGAGACAGAAGGATTGAGAGATCTAGACCAGGCTGGCGTATGTAGCAAGACCCTGCCTCAAAAAATAAAATAAAAGAGAGAGAGAGAGAGAGAGAAGAATTGAAAACACACTGAGTACTGACATCTCAGTTTCTAAAAAATGGAACAAAGAAATGGAATAATAACTTGTGAGAGAAGTGGGGTTGAGAGGAAGTTTTGTTTTTTTTCCCTTTAGGTGAGGGAAATAATGTATGTTAATGGAATTGATCTAGTAGAGCATTGGTGGTTGGTACCAGGGGTAATGTGTGGAAGGGAGAATTGCTAGGTAGCTGAGGAGGATGGGATCTAGTGTAAAGTTGGAGAGCTGGTCTCTAGATAAGACAATGTGTCCTCATCTGTCACAAATGGGAAGCCAGAATATTTGGGTACAGGGACTAGTATTGTATAGATGTGGTAGAGGGTGGAAGATGACATGGTCAGTATAAAAAATTGATAGAAACAAGAAAAGGAGAAAAACTCAATAGCAGGTACTTACGTCCTGGCAGCATTCAACAACTTATTTTTGCTAACTACGTAATCCTCATGATAGCCTGCTGTAGCTACTATTATTATGCCTATTTTGTGGATGAAGAGACTGAGACAAAGAAATGTTAAATATTTTAAGCAACACACCTTATTTAAGAAAAGTGAGAGCTGGGATTTCAACCAAAGCAAAGGGCAAGTCAGAAGTGCTTGCTTTAAAGCATTTTGACACATTTCTTCTTTGTGAGAATTATTTCAGGTTTTAACCATGTGAACCTGACTGAGAATGCTCCTCTTGCCAGAACACCTTTTTTTTTTTAATGAATGATAAGAAGATGACTTTTTCTTTGTCACATGATTAAGTGAAATGCTTTCTGCAGAGAGTCCATAAGGATCAAGCAGGCAACGTAAAAAAATAGGACTTAAGTTAATGTGTTATCTACAAGATCTCTCTTACACTTGTCATAGAGAAGCAGATAGTTTGTTGTAAAATTATTTTATGGAAAGAAGTATACTATCACTAAAAGTTTTGATGTAAAAATGACTTTTAAAATTAAAACTATATATTGCCATTAGCATATGTGTTTGTCATTTAAAATATAGAAGGAAAAGATAGCAAAATATTTCAACATCGTAGCTAACACATTGGGCCACATTCGGACACAGTAAGGCATTAACGTGTCCTTTAGGCACAGGTAAGGATGTGTGCATATTCCAAGTCTTGAAAATCAGATGTATGCCCATACAGTAATACAGCTGTAAAACTTACCTTCTCAACTTCAGAAATGTATTTTACACAAGTGTGTTAAATATATTAAGCATATTATGTCACATAAATGTAGTAAACTTTAATTCAATGTAGTTTCTAATATGAATTGAAATCTAGAATATTTTCTTTTCTAACAGAATTTTTTAAATGAATGTTATTTTTAATATTAACCTAAATCAATTGACTTTATACTAAGTTAATTATTTACTACTACCAAACACCTTAGGAGATTTAGATATATAATTAAATACCTGGCTAGAACTCAGTGTTCTGGATAGAACATGTGAGATGACTCAAACATTTTCTGTTGATGTCAGAACATTTTAAAAATAGTCTAGAAGTTTTAAAGCAAGATATAAAGTGCTAAGATGATTTTATATATTTTCCACTCCTTGAGAAATATGAATGTCAATTGAATTGCACAATTTTTAGAATCATGAGCAAGAAAAAATATGAATGTAACTTTTACATTACATTCATAAAATAAATTTTATGAATTACGTTTATTTATTCATAAATAAATTTTAGTAATTTATTTGAATATCCTGTTCTGTATATTTTTTTAAAATATGTAAAAATAAGCAAATAGTAACTATTATAAAATGAATGCACAGTTACACAGCAAAATGTGCCATGTGGGACTAAGGTTGTATCTTATGATCATGAGTTCCTGAAGATAACTGATACATGAACGAGACTTCTTTGTTAGTTTCATTTATAAAAGGTATGGAGTAGCCAATGCTTATGTCCCTTAAAAATACAGCTCCAACTAGGAGATAGACACTAATAATAATAATTAGAAATCTCAAAAGTTGGATGTATCTTCCATCTACATGGGAAGATAAAATATTCTGGAGCAGAATTAAAATTATTTTGGGATCATTTTAAGAGCAGAATGAGACATAAGAAAACTTTTGTTATGAGATGTAGGAAATTCAAGACCTTAAAGTAAAAACTCAGAATCTATTGATACACTCAATAAAAGTGCAGTTCTGAAGAGCTGAAAAGTAGTACCAGTTTGTTGAAGAAATGTTACTTGTGAGCATAATATGTTGCAATAAATGTGGGATCTTAGTCCATTTTGATAACAATCATATAGTGCTTTGTACATTCTGGGAAAAATGTTAATTATGGGGCAATAATGGGATCAACAGGAGTTTTTACTGTGGCCACACCACTGTGGAACAGTTTTGGTGGACAGCTATTTCTCAGGTTAGTAGCATATTTCAGATAAAGAAAGGAAGTCGCCTTAAGTTGAAACTGCTGTGTCATTTCTTCTTCCTTAACTGAAATTCCAAACAGGGTTCAGGAAATGCCCTAATGAGATACTTCTCTTTTCTCTTTCCTCAACTGAGTGGATTTCAATCAGCCCAGACGGTTCATTACTCATGATCAGATCATCAGATCTTTAACTTTGTTTGTCACTTTGGACATGGTACTTATGTTATGACCAGAGAGACTGTAATTTCGTGCTGTTTGTAGAGGTGCTTACATTGATAGAACCCAGTCATTGCTGGTAGGTAAACTGGCAGATTAATTTCTATACTTTAAACAAACTATGAAGAGAAGTTTAATCAATATGTTTTACTTTGATATGCATGGTTCACTTATACTTAAGATTTTGTCTTGTGTAATTATGAGGTATCAGGATGTTAGAGTAGTCAAGCTGTGATTTGCTATAATTTGGATGAAAAATAACTGAAACTCTATTAATATCTTACTTTAATCAAGATGTAGAAATCCCTGTTTTAGTACATGATAACCAAAGAAATTTCTTCTTCCAGTTTAATATTCTCAGATATTTACTAAATTGGAACATGATTTAGCATTTTATTGCCTCATATTTTATTTTATGAGTGTTAATTTCTGTTTATATTCTTGCAATGTCTATTTTATTGTTTTTTAAAGGTAAGAAAATACAAGTTCTGTTCAGAGCTAAAATAACACTAGGAAGTAAATTAGCATATGCTCTGTTTCCAGGGTTAAAAAATTGTTATTCTTTTTTATACAGATGTGGAGCTAAATAGTTTGTTTAGGAAATTTCAAGTATCCTAAGACAATAACTTTTTAAATTATAATTTTTAACTATAATAATTAAAGGTTATAATAGGGACTTAAAGATTATTTTATTTCTCATGTACACAAGCATGCACACATATATGTATGTATATGTATACACGTGTATATATATATATATATTTGCTTATATGAATTATTATTATTCCATACTTTCAATGTTATTGGGACTAGGTACTTTGAAAGCAATAATATAGCTCCTTGAAGTAATATTTAATTTATCTTGAATAACTTATTAGTAACTTATTTACTAGAAATTTTATTTAACATTGAGACTGAAGATTTATATCTGTGCAGAGACTATGTCAACAAAGCATGTGGAGTTCATTATCAACAGAATGTGGAATTCATTGTCAAGATTATTCAGACAATTCTTGTATTGCAGATGAATCTAAGTGTAGCTATATACTTTCTAGTAACTTTTGAATCAATATTAAATCTTTTACTTTTTTGGTAAAACCTACCTTAAATAGGCCAAATTTTATGTTTATATTTTGAGTGTTTAGAAAAAAACTTTAACCACTAGACAAATGGAATACATATAATTTTCATGCTATTTTGTTGCTTTTGATTATTTTTTAAATTTCCATTTCTTTGCAAAGCAAAATAGTGCAATGTTTAAGTACATTTGTTGAACTGAAACTTGGAGTTGATGTCAAAAATGAAATATGTTTCTTAAAGTCAACTTAACTTTAATGGTTGAGACACAAATGTTTAAGTTCTACAAAACCAAGATAATTACGAGATTTTTACATATAATGCACATTTTTAGCATAAGCAAATTTTTAAGAAATTGTTGCAATTTACATAGTGGAAGTAGAAAATAATTTTGAAAATAATGATTTGGATAGCCAGAAAGAGAAATAAGGAAAGGAGAAACTGAAAGTAGCAAAGTGTTCTTATACCATGGTTTCAAATAAAATAATGAAATATGGTTCAAATGGGATCATAATGGATAGTGATAAATGATAAATATCATATACATGTAGAAAGGCAATCAGTTAATATTTTATATGTCATTGTACAAAACTGAAACTATCTGAGATCAGATTCTTCATGGAGATAAATTCTTACGGTAAAAACACTGGATTAAGAAATGGAGTGATAGCATATCTGGAAAGATTATGTTTACAAGCTAAGATTGCTATTTTGGACTATGTGACAGCAAGACAAAACAAATGCAGAGTATAAAATATAGTTATATTCAAGTTTTACTGAAAATGTTTCTAAGGCCAAGAAAAGAAGTAAGAGTGATAAATATCTGCAAAAACATAACCCACGAAGGGAGAGGTTTACAGTAGCACATTCCTTACTTGACAGTTGTGAATTACCAGTCAATCAAAGAATCTGTGGAAGTAGGTTGTATGTATTTGGAGATGCATCAAAATGTGACAGACATTACTTTGTAAGTGTAGTTGATAGATGATCTTGTTATTCCATTAAACTAGATTCATTGGGTCATGGAAAGCTTTGGCCACTTCCTGGCAAGAAAGAAGGAAAGAAGAGAGAGAGAGAGAGAGAGAGAGAGAGAGAGAGAGAGAGAGAGAGAGAAGAAGGGAGGAAGGAAGGCAGGGAGAGAGAAGGAAGGAAGGAGGAAGGAAAGAAAGAAAGGAAGAAAGAAAGAAGAAAGAAAGAGTCCAAAGAATTGAAAAACTTCAACAGTACAGTAGGTTGTGGAATCTCCTCTGGTGACCAGTGTTAAGTATGGGTTGGGGGCTGGGATGTAGCTCAGTGGTACAGCGCTTGCCTAGCATGCGTGAGGCCTTGGGTTCGATCCCAGCACCAAAAAAGAAAAAGACCAAAAAAAAAAAAAAAGAATGGGTTGGTCTAGGAGTAGAGAAAGTTCTTGTTTCTAATTTTTCAGTTGCTCTCATAAAGGGAGGTTAAGCCTAATGATCTTGGTTCCTTTTTTTTTTGAGGTTTGAAAGAATAGGTGAGAATTTGGTCTTAAGAAGATACATTTGAAACCCAGTTGATGGCACATGCCCGAATCATAACACTGGGGAGACAGAAGAAGGAGGATTTAAACCTTTTTTGAAATATTCTTCTTTAGCTGGCCTACTAAAACAGACTGTATTCATTCCAGCTGCTTCTACTGAGCCAGAGATTTCTTCCATTCCTCCTTCCATTTCCTTCAATATTTCTTTCTTGTACAAACATTTTTCCCATGCAGAAGATTATGTGCACATGAGTAAATTTGGCTTCTCTTGATGCATATTTGTCCATAAGCCAGGAATTTCTATGTTTAATCAGATATTTGGCTTTGCTAAAACTCAAGCATTTGTTACCACTCTCCAAAAATGTAGGCCAGTATCTACTACATTGGTGATATGTGTTCAGGCAGGTAATGATCTCTGGTAGTGTCTAGAGGGAATTGCTTAGCAGCCAAGGTGCTCTCTTTGAGCCTGTGCAGATTCAAGAACATTTGAACTACTGAATCATCTGTTTACAACAGAAGTTTTTGGCAACAATTTTACCACCAGACTTTAAATTTTGGTAAAATTCTAGGCTTCTCCTTAATGAATCTTAAGCTAAGAAACATCTGATTTTTCCATCATACTCTCAAATGTTTCTCTTCATTTAGTCAATTACTTTTCCTTTTCTATAGCTATGATTGTCCTTCACATTTGCAGGGCTATTTTCACACGGATGATTTGTTCCTTCCATCAAAATTGCACCTTCCATTAAAGAATTTTCTAATAAGCACATTCAATCACTAAAAAAAATTTTCTCAGGGTTCTCAAATTTTGAAACACTTTTTATTGGAAATAACTATTTTTTATTAGCCTTCTGAACATTTCTTGTGAAAACTTGATGATGTAATGTTTGGAAAACCCTGAGTATATTCATCCTTAAACCAAGTAGTAACAAGCTAGTGGTGAGTCTGCCCCTTGAGTTAACTAATGACACCATCTTCTGAAGAAATCAAAGAGTATGTCATTTTAACTTAATTAATATCTGTGTAGGTTTGGTTAAGTTGAAAGTATATACATAGAGGAGTGTCCCTAGTGCTATGTATGCTGTGTTTGGAGGACACTAAGATGTATAAAATATGATACCTGCCAATAAGCAGTTCAGGCATTTCAACAATTAATTGAAGAGACAAGTGTTATATTAAAAGTATATATGAATTTCCTGGGGCTCTGGAGGGTATGGAAAGAGTTCAAAGAAGTGATGGTTGAAGTGTATGTTGAAAAATAAACAGCTGTTCTCTAGGAAAAGGGTGGTAGAAAAGCCTTGGACTGAAAGACTGGCATATGCAGAGTTATGCAAAGCAATATACATGGAGAGAGTTTTTCCCATTAGAACTTGGGACCATTGTGGGGAATAACATGAAGTAAGAGATAAGGTGAGGACAGGCCATGAAGAGCTATGCTTTTAAGATGTAACATTTTAACAAGAGGAGTAATTTGATCTGATTGTACTTTAGCAGGATCTTTCTGGTTCTAGTCATTTGGAAAATGGATTGGAGGGTGAAAGGCTGAAGTAATTAGTTTTAGATATTTTTATTTATAGAATGCTCCCATATCTGCTTCAAAAGGGCAAATACAAATGTGTGGTGTCTATGAAGTCCTATCTTTGGCAAGGGCACAGTGCAGGTGTGTTGCTGAAAATATGACAAAACCTACTTCATGTGAGAACCAAAGGTGATGTAATGTGATGTTTTCCACTGTAAAAATAGTAATTTAAATACAAAAAGAATTAGTCCCTAAAGCAGTGCATCAAACAAATATGTGCAAGTGATTCGGTGATTTCTTTGTGGTTGTTTGGTTTGCAGTTGATGGAACACACTGTGAAATAGGAAGTCAGAAGTTCAGCATTTTTAGCTTGCTACTAATTCCCCATGTGACTTTGAATAAGCCTCTGTGTGTATATGTACATTTTAAGTAAAATTAATATATAGTGTGGAGAGTGAAGATGTGGGGCAGGACCTGAGGGTAAATGATGAGAAATCTGGTGGTGCTTAAAGTCAACTCTTGTGCCTGAAGAGGAGCTCAGAATTTATTCCTAGGAGATCAAACTTGCATTCCACACAGGAACTCTAAGATTGGAAATCCAGCTCACAGTGCAAAAGGAGGGCCTCTCTTCTCCCTATGAAGCCTTGATCCCACATTTCTGACAGATTTTCATAGCAGGCTATGCCTCATATATCTGGCCTCTCTGCACCGACCCCCCCCTCCACCTTATTGTTTCCTGCTAAGCCAGTTTTACAGAACTCTTGTCTTAGGACAGAACTTTGAGAGCAAAATGAAGTAGAGAGTGAAGCAACTCCATGCATAATTTGGGAAATAACTCTTAATTTGCCTTTTCTTCAGAAGACATTTCATCCTTCCAGATTTTCTCAATTGTATTGTTAATTCATTTGCATTTCCACTGGCTTGCATTTGAAACACCAGATGTTAATTCACTTGGACTGCCCTTTCACTGGACATACCCAGT